TTTAACTAGAAAACATTTCCATGAATTTCAACACAAGATAATAATAGTCTTCAAAACAACCAATCATCCATGGGATTAAACCCTAATCAACCAAATGAAAGTTTAGCCAAACATGGCCAAAGTAAAAGAAAGACAATATAGTTTAGTGGTACCAAACATTGTTCTAGTTGCAAGATGGAAAGAAATTACACTAATCTTCAAAAAATCTTCAAATCTTCCAAAACCTTCTTGAGAGAGAATTGTGTGTGTTCTTCAAGTGATCCCTCCTAAAAATGCTCCCAAACTCCAGTAGATAAGGTTCATTTCCCGATTCAAAAAGTTTCCCAAAAGCTACCCACCAACTTTCCACAAGTAGAGTCAACAAGTCAAAACTCGGAATCAAGTCAACACATTTCACGCGGACCGCGTATGGGTCCACGCGGACCGCGTGGGTCACGCTGAATGTGGGACTTGGGCCATTTAACATGCAATCTAGCCCAATCTTCTCATTCACACTTCAGCCCACATGCACAACTCTTGGTAGCCCAATTATGTTATTCCAAAGCCTCCATTGATGGTCTAATGCTTCTTTAATCCTCCTCAACTCGAATCCTCGTCCAATATAAAATCCAACGCGCATCCCGCTTGTACTGACACCGAGCCCAATCGCCACACCTTAAGTTCACGAACAAATTGCAAGCCCCTAATAGTCCCGCACTCCTTCCATACCTCCAATGTCAAATAGTCTTCGATAAATCCTGCAAATAAGCTCAAAAGACTGGAAAGCACCCGGTAAAGGAGAAAAATAACAAAAAGAGAAAATATGCATGAAGATTAACTAAAATGAGATGGAATGTGCTAAAATAAACTATAAAAAGAAGTAAATAAAATGAAACTATCAGGAAAATACTCATCTCTGAACAACTGGGTAAACGTCTCCCAAGTAACTGCAGCATGATCTGCAAGAGTAAAATCAGTCGTCATGAACTTCCACCAATCCTTCGCTCCCAAGCGAAGATGGTTCTGTGCAAACCGAACTCTCAAGTGCTCCGGGCATGAACATTTATAAAAACATCCCACAATGTTGGAGATCCATCTCATGGAAGAAATCGGGTCCTGGGTCCCGTCAAACTCTGGTGGCTTCGTGTTGCTGAACTCCCGAAACAACAACGAGTCACCCCCATGTGGCCTCGCAGCAGCTACGGCTGCGGTGGCTGCGGCAGCAATAGCCTCTGTGACAGCAACATGTCGCTCATCAAATATCTCAATTAGTGTGGTCTTAATAGACCCGAACATCACTGGTACGGCCTCCCTGATAGCTGCGACCACCTCCTCATCAATGATCTTGCGGATCTCCTCGTCACTGGTACCACTGCCACAGGGGTTATTGCGGGTAATCACCATAGTGTCTCTGAAATACAAACACAAAAATAATCAGAGACTAGCTCAAGCACACACTCCATTACCCACCCCTATATACTCCTAGTATCCTAAGGTTCTTACTTGGGTCGCATACAGATCTGATGCTTTCAGTAGTACGGGCCCAATACTACCTTCCACACCAACCCATAGTCGCCCCAAATCCTCCTCCTAGGATCCTAATTCACAAGTATTCTATCCATCACGGATATCAAACTACAGTCTCAGTAGAATCCTCAATGCTCATCTACGTATCTCTCCTAGATTACTTCAACTCTCTCTAACAGATTCCTGTTATGTACCCCTACTCAGAACACACACAAAGCAAATAGCAGATAATATCAATCAATAGCATCCCCCTAGGCTAAGGCATCACGAATCAGGCAACTCTAGCTCTAAATTCCTGAAATACCTAGTCTATCATATAACATGCGACTCTAATATCTTAGAAGTATCTCATCATATAATATAAACAAATAATGGTATTTTGGGAAATCACCGTTCGTGCTCTGGCTGATTGTACACACTGCTTCGTCTCGTTTTCTCTTAAAAGCTCTTACTCGTTTTTTTAGAAAAATCATTTCTTTTAGACAAATTTCTCAAATCCTCAGTTTGAGTCCAGAGATACCTGAGAGTACATCTGAATCCCTTAAACCAAGGCTCTGATACCAACTTGTAACACTCTAAATTTTCAAACAAATTTTCATTTTTAAAACCTCATAAAACACAATCTCATTTTCTCAAAAACCCAAATGTATAAGTTGTTCAAAACACAAGACAACAAAATGTTTGACAATATCCTAGAATCCTCAAAACATAATCTCAAGCTGGTGTGTACAATCAAGTCGGCGGCTTCCTGCGATCCTGAGAGGTACCTGAAACACATTTTACACAACACTGTAAGAATGAAGCTTAGTGAGTTCCCCAAAATACCACACACACATAATTAGCCTCTCATGACTATATCTCAATAAGGACCCTCCGGTCATGTGTCTCAGTGAAGACCCTCCGGTCTCACAGCTCCGGTCGGACGCTCCAGTCCGGTATCTTAGTGAAGACCCTCCGGTCTCACAACTCGGTTTGGACCCTCCGGTCCTAAGTCAATAAGGCACAGAATAATATATAACATAAATCACAAAGACAAAATGCATGATATCAAATAACTCAAAATAAACATATAAGACCCTCCGGTCAGTAACTCAAATAAGACCCTCCGATCACCCAGTATTACCACTCAGGTAACTATAGTGAGAAGACTCACCTCGTACGTAGGCAAGTAGGTATCGTACTCAACGATCGGTCTAGACTCCGCCTACATATCATAATCATCTCTATTTAACACTTCATAACAACAACTCTAAAGATGTTAAGCTAACCCCTTTTCTAACTCTCGGAAAGGGTGAACGACCATTTTACCCCTCCATGGTCTCCATAATCCATAACTTGACCAAACCCTAAAAGTCAACGGAAGTCAACACTCGAGTCAACAGTCCATGTTGACCCAACTCGTCGAGTGCATCTATGCGACTCGTCGAGTTCCTTCGTTTCTCTGAAAAATCAGGAATCCAACTCAACTCGCCGAGTTGTCTTACCAACTCGTCGAGTTTGCAACGCGTCCAGACTATCGGGGAAAACCCTAACCAACTCGTCGAGTCCCTTCAGTCTATTTTCTCATTCAGACGTTTTTAAGCATAACTAAGGCCCCATACTCTAGATCTAGCCTTCTAATGTTGAAATACCACGTAAAGCTGCAAGATTTACGTTCATGCATGACATCTAGGGCTAAGTTTGCGAACCTAAAGCTCAATAGAGGGTTTAAGGCATGAAAGTTGGCCAAAGCTTGATAAAGCTTGAATCTTTTGGCCTAAGGGACCTCATACTGTCCAGATCTGAAGTCTCATCTTCAAGGCATGCTCAAACAACTAAAGGACTTAAAGAGAAGATGGAAATGGCCATAAACTCCCTAGTGAAGAGATCTAACAAACAAATGGTCAAGGTGATAGCTTTTTACCTCTAAATGGCAGCTAACACTGAAAGAATACTGGATCCAAGGGCTCCTTCTCGTTCCAAGACTTTTGCTCCTCAAACTCCTTCCAAGAATGAACTAAAACACACACTTTTAGACTCTCTCTCTCTCTCTCTCTCTCTCTCTCTCTCTCTCTCTCTTTCTTTCTCTCTTCCTCATACACACACACACCGATGATAATAGCTCGATTAGGGTTTCTCTCAGCGTGTTAAGGTGGCGAGGGAGGCGAGATAAATGACTTAAGGTCCTTTAAATAGGGTGCAAACCTTGAAAAATAGGGTTTTCACACTCAGCTCCTACTCGTCGAGTCGGGTCCCCCCAACTCGTCGAGTAGACTCTAAAAACCGCGCGGCCATCTCAATCTCTACTTGGCGAGTTGGGGCCTCCAACTCGTCAAGTTGCCCTGAAAAATGAATATAATTTAATTAAATATTATACCCGGGAGTCGGGATGTTACAGGAAGAATATTTGTTTTTACCCTTAAGTTTTCAAGTTATATGTAGGTGACCTGTTGGTAATCGGGTAGCCTGCTAAAAGAGAAAAAATAAAATAAATTACGCAAACTTTCGATTTTAATGAATCCAAAAGAAACCAAAAGGTAAAACCAAACATTTTTTTTGAAAACATAAGAGTTTTTATGACATTAGTCCTATGTATATATTCTTTAAGAATTTTAATTATAAAGTAAAACTCTTTGAATAAAATCGTATTTTGTATGAACTCAAGAACGAAATATGTTTTATTATATGTTGAATGGAATCTTGTTCTAAAAAAATATGATTTATTTTGAATGCATTGAATAAAATTTGAGATTTAATTTGATTTTTATTAATTAAATTGACTTAGTTACCTAAAGTATATATGTAAATTATGTTTATATGTTTTAATAAAATGTCATATTTTTCCTCATAATTAATTAAATATAGTTATATATTAATATCAATTCATATTAATAACATGTATAATAAGATTATGACTTTTTATTTTTTTTTTAATCTAATTACTAAAATTTGGTTATGCATTTATAAAACACTTGTGATTCGTATTGATATTTAAATAAATATATAAAAAAAAAGGTTAGAAACCACTTATGAACCAAATTCACACTTATTAATCTGTGAATACCGTCTATTAGACTAAAATTTGACAGCGTGATATAATCATAAATAATACCAAATTATTGCAGTTATTAAAATTGTGGATTTAATGAATTCACAATTATTAAACTGTATTCACTGATTCATTGATTTGGTGTTATTTATAGTTATACCCTTTTTCGGTGTTTAATAGTTGTAAATTGGGAAATTGTTAGAATAGTTTAAATATTTTTGGAAAAATTTCATTTTAGCCCCAAATTATTTTTTATTTTTTTAACAGAAAAATTCTGATTATTTGATTTTACACGATAATATGTTATTTTCTGTTAAAAAAAATGACTTTTATATATTAATTTGAACCAAAATGAAATAATCCGGATTTTATGTTCAAACTTTTTTTTTCAGACTAAAGTGAAATTTTTTCAAAAATTATTGGGATTTTTTTTATAATTTCCCGTTTTAAATTTGATTGGTAAATGGTTTACAATATCTTTGAAGAGCCGCGCCATCATATTTCCCTCCTGACACTTGATTTTGAGATCGAAAATTTTCAAATTAGTAGCAGAGACAAAAGCAACAAACACAAAGATTCAACCGACGATCACCGGAAAGTGGTGAAATCATCGATAATCGACAATGGCTCAAGCCGCAAGACTCAATCTCCGGATGCAAAAAGAAGTCAAACTCCTCCTCACCGACCCACCTCCCGGTGCTTCTTTCCCTCACCTCTCTCCCACCTCCGATCTTTCTTCCTTCTCTCTCACCGCCATCGATGCCCGTAAGCTAACACCTACTCGTATCAACATTCATTCTTTATCCCCTAATGCTCGTCTGCTACTTCTTTACAATTCATTATTCTTTAATTCGTTTCTTTAACAGAGATCCAGGGTCCCGAAGATACAGTTTATGAAAAGGGGGTTTTCAAGATTAAGATCCAAATACCCGAAAGGTGATATAACTCATAACCGAAACCTTTTACTTTTATGTAGACAAGGTGTTTGTTGTTTTGTCTGTGTGAATGATGTAGATGGATTTGGGTGTTTTTCATAGGTACCCATTTCAGCCCCCTATTGTAACGTTTGCCACTCCTATCTACCACCCAAATATCGACACAGGAGGCCGAATCTGTCTTGACATTCTTAACCTCCCTCCAAAGGTTAGTTCTTCAACCAAGTAAATTTATTATCTTTATATTATTTCAATTGAAAATTTGGAGTTTCTCATTAAAGATTGAACCAGGGTGCATGGCAACCATCTTTAAACATTTCTACCGTTCTAACAAGCATTGGATTGTTACTGAGTGAACCCAACCCTGATGATGGCCTAATGTGTGAAGCAGTAAGTAATTAAATATGTCAATATGTTATGAATAATTGTTGTAAAAGATAATTACTTATTGATTATACACATTTGTTTGAATGTGTAGAGCAAAGAGTATAAATACAACAAACAAGTCTTTGATCAAAAGGCACGATCCATGACTGAAAAATATGCCAAATCTGATACTTCAGGGTCAAAGTCAAACACAGGGGTAAATGAGGAACCTTTAAATTTAACTCCCCAGTCACAAATTCAAGAACCAAAGCAAGATCATGTATGGGGTAGGTAATGAATCAATCTCAAAAATTCTTGTAGGTCTATAATGAAGGATGTATATCATATATTGTAATATTGACATCCTGTATTTTTTATTGTTGGGGGGGGGGGGGGGATCTGGACTTTGGAGTATGATCAAAGAATGGTGTGGTTTTGACACATCAGAGTTCATTCCTATCCTCTTCAGAGACTCTACGAGCTCTACCTAAAGCTGGAAAAAATAAAGTGGGATTCAAAATATTTGGGGTTGTAATTCTAGCAATTTTCTAGTTTATATGGAAGGCCAAGAATGTGACATCCTAATTTTCGTGGCCAAATAAATCTTTTTCTTTATACTTATTTAAAAAAAGTATTCTTTTAAAGAATTTATTAGTGTAGAATTTGTCCCAAAACATTATTATTGTAAGATGAAATCAATTTTGTTTTCAAAGAAACGTTTTTCATTAATATTAAAAGCTTCGGATGTCAAGATTGATACAGAAACATAAGCATAAACCACTAATTATAGGCCTTACAACTGTTTGTTATACTAATGGCCAAAACTCCTTTATCACTCGGCAACTAATATCCACTGTCCAACTGCTTTCATATCGCTTCCTGTGATACAAATAAACTGAATGGATCATTTTAGCCCCAAATTATTTTTGGAAAAATTTCATTTTAGCCCCAAATTATTTTTTATTTTTTTAACAGAAAAATTCTGATTATTTGATTTTACACGATAATATGTTATTTTCTGTTAAAAAAAATGACTTTTATATATTAATTTGAACCAAAATGAAATAATCCGGATTTTATGTTCAAACTTTTTTTTTCAGACTAAAGTGAAATTTTTCAAAAATTATTGGGATTTTTTTTATAATTTCCCGTTTTAAATTTGATTGGTAAATGGTTTACAATATCTTTGAAGAGCCGCGCCATCATATTTCCCTCCTGACACTTGATTTTGAGATCGAAAATTTTCAAATTAGTAGCAGAGACAAAAGCAACAAACACAAAGATTCAACCGACGATCACCGGAAAGTGGTGAAATCATCGATAATCGACAATGGCTCAAGCCGCAAGACTCAATCTCCGGATGCAAAAAGAAGTCAAACTCCTCCTCACCGACCCACCTCCCGGTGCTTCTTTCCCTCACCTCTCTCCCACCTCCGATCTTTCTTCCTTCTCTCTCACCGCCATCGATGCCCGTAAGCTAACACCTACTCGTATCAACATTCATTCTTTATCCCCTAATGCTCGTCTGCTACTTCTTTACAATTCATTATTCTTTAATTCGTTTCTTTAACAGAGATCCAGGGTCCCGAAAGATACAGTTTATGAAAAGGGGGTTTTCAAGATTAAGATCCAAATACCCGAAAGGTGATATAACTCATAACCGAAACCTTTTACTTTTATGTAGACAAGGTGTTTGTTGTTTTGTCTGTGTGAATGATGTAGATGGATTTGGGTGTTTTTCATAGGTACCCATTTCAGCCCCCTATTGTAACGTTTGCCACTCCTATCTACCACCCAAATATCGACACAGGAGGCCGAATCTGTCTTGACATTCTTAACCTCCCTCCAAAGGTTAGTTCTTCAACCAAGTAAATTTATTATCTTTATATTATTTCAATTGAAAATTTGGAGTTTCTCATTAAAGATTGAACCAGGGTGCATGGCAACCATCTTTAAACATTTCTACCGTTCTAACAAGCATTGGATTGTTACTGAGTGAACCCAACCCTGATGATGGCCTAATGTGTGAAGCAGTAAGTAATTAAATATGTCAATATGTTATGAATAATTGTTGTAAAAGATAATTACTTATTGATTATACACATTTGTTTGAATGTGTAGAGCAAAGAGTATAAATACAACAAACAAGTCTTTGATCAAAAGGCACGATCCATGACTGAAAAATATGCCAAATCTGATACTTCAGGGTCAAAGTCAAACACAGGGGTAAATGAGGAACCTTTAAATTTAACTCCCCAGTCACAAATTCAAGAACCAAAGCAAGATCATGATCATGATCAAGATAACATACAAGAATCCATTAGGTCAAAGAAACTACGTCTTTCTAGCAAGAATCTACAACAAGAAGCCATGGATTCAACCAAAGACTCCATTGATGGACCTTGCTTTAGAAACCCTAAAAGAAAGAAGCTTGGTTTGAGTGGAAAGAAACAATCTTTAGGGTTTTTAAGCATACCCCAGAATAAAGAAAATGATTATAATGGGAAAACGGGTTCATTTGGAAGTAACATGTCAAAGGTGCCACAAGATGATAATGGAAAGTCTACAAAGTTGTCAAGAAAGCCACTTCAAGTTATGGAAGAAAATGATAATCATAAGATGAAGGTAAAAGTAGAGCATGGAAATTCGACTACAAGTGATTTGAAAGATTGTGGTGAAAGATCAGAAGGAGAAGGATTGTGTGATTTAGGGGAAGTGATTGTATTGGATAGTGAAGATAGTGAAGAGGAAACAACAAACACCATGAAATCTAGACGTTTGATTGCAAGAAAGAGGTTGTTGGGTAAATATTAAGCTTTGGAGAAGTGTTAACATTAACATTGTTTTCAAGTTTGATAAAGAACACTACTTTTTGCTTTGTTATCACTTAGTATTTCTCATACTAAAAAATGAACTTTTAATGTTTCCATAACTCTTTTTGTATTATTATTAAGTAGGAGATTATGATGGAAATGATATATATGGATAGAAGTTTGATTTCATATACTTGTTTTGTATTTTATGTCGTTGATAACTTGTATTATGCAATTCACAATCTATAGTAGAGTATGCATTGTAAACATCTAATTAAACAATATAGAGGTAATCTAATTTATACACATGTAAAGTTGTAACAAAATTAATAAATTGGGTCCTCATCCTCTAAATACCTAAAAATGTACTAAAATTTTCTTATCCTAACAAAAATAATCAATAAAATAATAAGAATAGCTATTATTATTTCTATACGAATCAACTAATAATAAAATAAAATGATGGTTTTATATAATAATATTATTAAATAAAGTAACAACTGACTTTAAAAGTAAAATAAATGTCTTTTTTACCATTTATAAATTTCTATCAATAATATTACTAGTTAATATGTATAGTTGATTAATGAATGTATATAATTAGTATCGAGACTATCGATGAAGACATATCACATATATGATAGACACTATAATAGTATAATCTATGTATTTAGTACCCATCATTTAGCATCCACAAAGTCTTTCTACAAAGTTTATTTTTTTATTTTTTTATTTTTTTATTTTTTATTTTTTATTTTTTAATTTTTTTTGCCATGTTATCCCTATATCATCAACCCAAAATTTTTACAAATACTCATTATAGCGTGCCTTTTTACATATATTTCTTGGGTCCCACATTCATATAAACAAGCTACATGAGAGTATAAGTATAGATAAATAAATAAAAGGTTAAATATCATTTTAACCCAATAAACTTTTGCATTTTATTTTAAAAGGGCCCTAATTTTTTTTATTTTTTTTTATTTTATTTTTTATTTATTTTGCATTCTAAGCCATTGAAATATGAAAATACCTGTTAATAAAGGGAATACAACTGGTCAACACGTCATTTCCAAACAAACATTGGATGATACAACATACTTCATGTCCACATAGGCTACACCGGACCCTAACAACCTGCAAAAGTCTTTCTAATAGTTTTTTCAAATCTTTAAAGCTTTTTTAACACAAAAAGCTTCCAAAAAAACTTCAAAGTGTTGTGGATACTCTAACCCTCTTTTTCAAGTGATACTAGCACATTATGAAAAGAGGAAGATAAATATGTTGATATTCAAGATGGGTTTCAAAAAGACATTTGGTTCTTTAAATTGAGAAGTTTTAGATTCAGTTATGACCCAATTTGGATTCGACTCTAATCGAAGACATGGATCATGGGTTGTCTATATCATCTAGAACGTTCATATTGGTAACGACTCCCCAACAATAGAATTTTCTCTTCAAAAGGCATTCGTCAATGGAATCCACTCTCGCCATTTCTATTCATCATAGCAATGTAGGCTTTACATGTCGTTATGGTGAAAGCACGCTCCTATGGTATTTTTCATTGGATTATGACACATTATGGGGGGGGGGGGGGGGATTATCTCATAGTATGCTACATCCATGGTGCAATCTTTATCGAAGAGTGGTCACTCTCTAATTCTAAAATTCTAGCTAGAATCCTAATGTGGTTCTAACTAGCTTTATGTTTGAAGTTCAATTTTACCAAAAGCAAAGTATATAGCATTGGTGTTGATTTGACATTACAAACTACATGGCCTCAATTATTTCTTTCCAAGTCGGTTCATTCTCGTTCACCTACCTTGGACTTCCCCTCGGTGTCAATATGAAGCTTGTAAAATATTAAAACCCCGTTATAATAAATTTCAACTCCAAACTCCCATATTAGAATGCAAAGGTACTATCATTTAGTGGTCTATTAACACTCATAAAATCAGTTCTGGGAAGTCTATCAAATTATTAATTTCATTGTTTAGTTTTTGTCTTAGGTTGGTAAGTATATGTCATTTTTCCTCCATAAAGTGCCATATCAGCCACTAGTCAAACATTTTTCCAATATGATCAACCATAGCAAGATGTACAAGTACCAAAGAAAGATAAATGAACAACCCATTTACGTATAGAAAATTTGTATGGGGTAGGTAATGAATCAATCTCAAAAATTCTTGTAGGTCTATAATGAAGGATGTATATCATATATTGTAATATTGACATCCTGTATTTTTTATTGTTGGGGGGGGGGGGGATCTGGACTTTGGAGTATGATCAAAGAATGGTGTGGTTTTGACACATCAGAGTTCATTCCTATCCTCTTCAGAGACTCTACGAGCTCTACCTAAAGCTGGAAAAAATAAAGTGGGATTCAAAATATTTGGGGTTGTAATTCTAGCAATTTTCTAGTTTATATGGAAGGCCAAGAATGTGACATCCTAATTTTCGTGGCCAAATAAATCTTTTTCTTTATACTTATTTAAAAAAAGTATTCTTTTAAAGAATTTATTAGTGTAGAATTTGTCCCAAAACATTATTATTGTAAGATGAAATCAATTTTGTTTTCAAAGAAACGTTTTTCATTAATATTAAAAGCTTCGGATGTCAAGATTGATACAGAAACATAAGCATAAACCACTAATTATAGGCCTTACAACTGTTTGTTATACTAATGGCCAAAACTCCTTTATCACTCGGCAACTAATATCCACTGTCCAACTGCTTTCATATCGCTTCCTGTGATACAAATAAACTGAATGGATCAGACTTGGGAGCCCGGTGAGTACATAGAATTTTCAACCCACAGTAATATAAATAAATCTTTTTAAAAAATTTCACAACAAACAATTAACCTGATTACACATTTCCGTTATTCTCACTCCTGATCCTAAAATGATGATCTCAAGGGACATATCTCAAAGGATCACTGTAAACAACGAGTAGACAATACCGCTTCGGGGATTCTTTAGAAATATATGTCAATAAGACAACCATGGGGGATAGAGTACCTGAATGAAAGCACGGTTCATTAACACCTACAGATTGCGAGTCTGCTAGTGTTCGACAATACTATCTAGAATAGTCAATGGTCGCCATCTATAGTGTACTAGATGACTAACCATAATAGTACAATAGTAGAATGTTGGTCACAAACTCATACCATTATATTATTATTCACAACCCTTCACTACTTAATATAATTTAAATATGATAATAACATAAACAATTATTCCAACATTTCAATTAATTAAGAAAAGTTTTGTCAAGCTACTTTATCTAACACATTCATTCAAAAAATACAAATAATAGCATATATAACATTTAAGCAGTTAAATACTTTTGTATCTATTTGTAATATGAAATTAACTACACACTCACATTCTTAAAGGTGGATGACTTGTGGGAAAGTTAAATCTTTGCGAAACACTTCTGCTTTCCCTTTTAAACGATTATAAACAATTATTACTAAGCCATAGTCGTTGTTTTATATTTTTCGAAACTGTATTTCAGATTTCTCAATAATCCCAAGAAATACCGAGTTCTATCAGATAAGGAATGACCAGGTAAGATCATATCAGAGCTAAGATCCGTTTTGTATACACAATGTATTTTTTGGAAATCCACTTTAAACACCTCACTAAATCTAGCCTAGACATCACTCCCGTAACTAGATCGATCAGTATTGTAATGACTAATAAATCTTATTTACAGGATCATAATAACGACTATGAACATAAATATAAGTTACACTTAAAGCATAGTAGGTGCATCTTAACTTACATGAATTTCTAGTAAAAGTTCGGAAAGTTTGCAGGCAGAACTTCGACTATGAATATTGCTTTTCGTCGGGCTCTTTGAAGTTGCAGTGCTTTGATAAAGTGATCGGAAACTCAAAAATATTGGGCTCGGAGTGGGGGAAGTTCTCTAGAGAATTTGGTGGAAAACGTTGTAAGGAAATGAGTCAATTTTTGTTTCCATTTATAGCAGATCAGGGGGTGTGTCGCGCCTCGGCACGTTAGCTCCTTTCAGCTACTGTCATGTATCGTGCATTTGTTTGTGCTACATCGCCGAGTCGGTAGATGGAGGCGTCCATCTTAGTCCACGTGGCACGCTTCGGACAGGCCACGTCATCATTATCAGGTAAAAACCGAAATCTTCGAAAAATCATATATTTAGTCTATGAGCTTCGTATTCGACGTTCTTTATATCCTTAGTTTCGTATCGACGAGTACTACAACTTTTATTTAGATTTCGTCGGCTAATTCTCATTCTCTTTTTAATTTTAAGTCTATGAAAATTACACTGTAAAAGGTTTTGCGAAATTCATAACTTTTTCATACAAACTCCCTTCTTGGCGTTCTTTATATCGACAGATTCGTATTTACGAGGACATCAACTTTCGTTTACATTGTTTTAGCTAACAAGTAACCGATCTCCATTTCACTTTACGCACATTGTTGTCAGGTTGAACGTGAAACGTCGAAAAATCATAACTTCCTTATACAAAGTCAGGTTTTGACGTTCTTTATATATACGGGTTCGTAATCAAGATTACTACGACTTTCGTTTAGATTATTTTTTCCAAATAATCTTTTATTTTTAATTGTTTATGTAGCCCACTTCATTAAGTTTTAAATAAGTTTTTTTATACAACTATTATATACCCATAACTTTCGTCTAAATTTCAAGCACATAATATGTAACGTTTGGGTTTCGGGGCTAAACATTTTTAGACGATGTAATAGTCTAGGTCAACTATTGTAACTTTTTTGATGTAATAAAGATGAAATATTTGAATACTATGTGAATTATGTGTATTTGTGTGCTTATTATTTAATTATAAATGTATAATTAATAAAGAATAAAAATAAGCGTCAAAATTAAAATGTGATATAAGCCCGATATCTTTATATAAAGTTGTAGTGGTCGAAACAAGGATTCCGGGGATATAAAGAACGCTGAAATCCGAGTTATAACGAAGAAGTTATGACCCGTCGAAGTTTCGTGATGGAACCGGCACGATACCGGGAAGCGTAAATAGTGAATTTACGATAGAGCGAGTTTTGGCCTTAGCAATCTAAACGAAAGTGGTAGAAAATGTTAAACCGAGAGCGTCCATAAAAAGAACGCCCAAATCTGACTTCGTATGAGGAAGTTATGATTTTTCGAAGTTTCGGCTTAGCAGTGTACAGCCCGAAGTTCGAATATTAGATCGAGCAGATTTTAGCCGACACAACCTAAACGAGAATCGAAGATCTCGTTAATAGTAGCATAACGATAAAAAGACAGACGAAAATGGAGGCCGGATGAAGAAGTTATGAATTTTTAACGGACCAATCCTCTCCCGGCCTGTTAAAAATATAACTTTTAAAATAAAGTCAAAATTAGCCGACAGAGTCTAAACGAAAGTTGTATAGTACGTTCCCGCCTAAGCGTGGATATAAAGAACATCGAAAACGGAGCTCGTATGTGAAAGATACGAATTTTTAAAGTTTAGACTCGAATTTACGAAGCCTGTTGCTCGATTGATGACGTGGCAAGATCCTATCCGTTGCTTGCTGATCACGGTTTAGCCTTCGGATTAGGACACCTGGCCTCGCTACGCCTCGCGTACAAAGGAACACCCAGCGTCCGAGGAGCGCCCTGCGTCCGAAGGGAACGCTGCGCGTACCCGAGCCTTCTGCGGTCCGAGAGATGGCCACGATGCACCACCAGCGAAGCAACACCTCAGCACACGAACGCGCCGCATCCGAACCTACGCCCTGCGTAGACCGAGGACCTCCGACCTATAAATTGAATGCGAGATTGCCCAAATTTTTCACACCATTCTTCATTGTCTCTCTAACTTCTTTCTCTCTCTAAGGATCCTAAACCCCTCCTAAGCCTAGGTAAACCCCTAGCACCCAAAGGAAGCCCCGAGGCTCCCGGAGTCCCGAGAAAAAGGGTCTTTCGGTTCGGAAACGCTGCTCCAAGCGAAGCCCGGTTTTCTTTAAAATCCGCTGTAAGTGAGCTACGCCTATGAAATTTTTAATATAGCTTTTAAATAATTATAGTAATGTTATTGGGTCCTTAAAATAATTATTTGGGCTATTATTATGAGTTATATAGAGTGTTGTTTAACCCTTATATAATAATAATAATATCTAGACTATTAATTAGTCGCGGTTAACGTTAGACTAAACCCTAGTGGTATTGATACTAGGTTTTGTCGAGGCAAACTTATTTTGAGATAACGAAGCGCTGTTCGAGTGCAGAGTCACCACATTTCAGGTGAGTGCATAGTTACTTTCAGCTTACATATAGATATGAAGTATTTTATATAAATTACGTGTTGTATGTGCATATTATCTGTATACTTTCTATCTATGCTGGATGAACGATTTTATACATGTTTTAAATAATTTAAACTGTATATGTATTTTATATCTACAAAATATGTTGGGTAAAACATGGGTAGATGTAATAGTTGTTGTGTGACAAAATAAAATAATGAGAGGCCTCGTTATAGATGTTATTGATGATCCAGTCATCTAGCGGAGTATAGATGACGACCACGGACTATTCTAGACAGTCCAGTGGAACGCTAGCAGGCTCGCAACCTGTAGGTGTTTGTTTGAACTGTGTGTTTACCAGCAGTACTCCATCCCCCACATGGTTGCCTTATTTGACATGAATTGCTGAGGAATCCCCGAAGCATGTGTTGTCACCCCGATGAAAGTCCTTAGACTAGGTCCCTTGAGTTAGATGTTTTAGGGACGTAAAGTGAGGATAACGAGAACGGGTAATCGGGTTTGTTTGGTTTGATAAAGTTAATAAACTTATTTATTGTGGGTTGAAAACCCTATGTGCTCACCAGGCTCCCAAGCCTGACCCACTCAGTTTCTTGTATTACAGGTAGTGGCGCATGAGCATAGATGTTTGGATGAGAGATAAGGGATTATAGGCCTGTAAATACGAAATAATGTAGTAAGGCTTATGTTGTACTGTTTATGATTTTGATCTGTATCGAACATGACATCCCGAGTCTTTTAATGAAATACATTTCTTTGGAAATGCTTTTGATAAATCGTTATCATATTTTGTTTTGGGACAAATTCTGCAACACTTTTATTTAAAATGTTACTCTGATTTTCAAACAAGCATAAACAAAATCGGTCTTTTCTGGCCGTGAAAATGGGGATGTCACATAATATATATAAATCACTTTTATATAAACACATATCATGCTTGAAATTTTAGAAAATATATATTTTCTAAAAAATGCCTAGTGAAAAACGCACACGTTATAAAGAACATCGTACTTTCCAAAATCCTATTATTAACACATGATGTGTGTTTAAAGATATTAAGTCAACAACATTATATATATTATATATAGATCAATAACAAAGAAAAAACATCTCTATAAAGTGGGATCTTATGTATCCATACTAAATTGTGTTGTAGGGGAATGTAAGAACACAAGTGATGCTTCATGTAATCATTTAACATTTAATTCCTTGTAAGAAAAAAAATCACAACGAGGTGGGCAACATATGAATTATATTTTATGTTATTGGTGTTGTTTGGTCATTTCACCCATGGGGTAAGTGTGTGTTAGGTGGATGGTGACTCGCATGTGTATATATATATATATATATGGTAAAATGACACTGTAGCCCTATAATGTTTTCAATTTTGGTCGATTCTATCCCTTAACTTAATTTCTTGCTTTTTAAGGGATTAAAGTCCATAGCAACATGTTCATTTAGTCACCCTGACCAATTGTAGCCAGTTACACATGCCATGTCATCTACCAGTGCCAAATCATCGCCAACGTGGACTCAGTTAGCAAAAACAACGTCGTTTTATTTACGAAGCTTAGGGGGCAAGATTGTGACTGTTCATTACCAAGCCCTTATAAAAACCAAACACTGGTGTCCTAAAATGACCAAAATCATAATCTTGTTACCTTAATTCTGCAAAAATCCTCATACCCCTCACACCCTAATCGTCAACAATGTCGTCATCTCCCGCCCAAATTTGGTCGTTCAACGACCGCCGACATCTAGACGTGCATCCATAAAATGGATTCCGTATAGAGGACATGGCCATTATGCTACTTCAAACTCATGTGGATGTGAGCCTCGGATGACAAGAATGTTGGATTAATGTCTAAGTCCATAACTATATTTGGTATGTACTTGACCCGACCCGGCATGGTCCATTTGGGTTGCACTTCACCGGCACAATTTATATGGATAGTCTTTTTGAGAATAGTATATTTATGATTTATATTAATATATTATAAGTTCTAATATATTAATATGGAATCATATTATTTAATTAGTATTGATCAAGAATTAATTTAGAATTAATTAAATGATCAAAAAGAACTAATTAAATATGGACTCTTATATATATGGAATGGGCCAAGTTCATTTAGGTTGGGCTAAGCTTTCATGGATGGTCCATGGAGCTTTTAACCCATGGATCCTATGTAAATGAAAGGTCATGGGTATTAGGGTTTACATGGATGTAACCCTAATCCTCCATAATATATAAAGGGGTCCTTGGCTCACAAAATTGGCACAAGTGTGTGAAAATAAGAGTGGGCCGATTTTAGTGTGCATACATATTCTCTCAAGTTCTTCCAAGGTGTTTTGGTGATTTGTGATTCCATTTGAGGCTTCCACACTATTGGGGCTAAGCTCTTAAAGCTTGAAGACATCAAGCTACATCAAAAGGTATGTCATCTAACTAGAACTTTGTAGTATAGGTGCTTCATAATATGCTAGTTAGGATGAAACCTTGGAATAGTTAATATTTGTATGTATAATAGAGAAAACATAGATCCAAGGTTTATAGGGTTGCATGTACACCATAGGAGTGTTAGAATGCTTAAAACCCAACAAAGAAATGGCTGCTGAAATGGTGGATCTCAAGGAAAGACTCATGACAGAAATGGATGCCCTCAACCACGAGATGGATGACATCAGGGTAGGAAACATCGTAGTTGCAAGCATGCTCCATGATCTTAAGAATCACTTCTACTCTCTCGAAGTTGGGTATGTTAAAGTCCCTACAGAGTCCAAGGCGATGAAGATGAAGGTGAAAAATGTCAAAGGTTTTCTAGGGTTGTCACAATGGTTGGCATGGGGCTTGTAGGGTACAAGTTCTTCCTATAGGGGAAGAGTTGTAGGTTAAATGTTTTATTTCTTAGGTTTGTGGTTTTTGCTTTGGTACATGGTATAGTAAATGGGTGGATTTGGTTTTTGGTGATGGATGAATGATGATGGTGATGATGCGTAGGTTAATTGTTTGTGTTTGATGGTGATGATGTGTAGGTTAAGTGTTTGTGTATGCTTCTAGTATGTAAAAAAAAGGTTAAGAATTGTAACAAATCCATGAAATGAAATCAGTTTATGAATGAAATTAAGTAGTTTGGTTTAATTTTATAGTTTTCATACTTGATTGTGTACAATGTGATCAATACACAATATGTAAGAATGTGATCAAGGTCAAATAGGATGCCTAGATGAGTGATGAGTCCCAGATAATAGGAATTGGATAAGGATCCCAATGCATAATGGGACCACATGATTCTTGTCAAAAATGGAAAAAAGGGACAACCTTAATCCACATGTGACTTGAACCCAAAATGGACAAAGAAGTATACATATGTGATTTTTGTTACTTTGTGATGTTAAGTGGGACAAAAAAAATGGCCCACAATGACCCACATTTTCTAGGAATAACAACATACTGTTGAACTATCCATTCAATATGGGACCACTAAATCACTGGGTATACATTTGGGTAAGGACAACAACCAAAGACAAAATTTGGAATGTCATTCACACATATACATAATTCCAAACCAGAAAAACATGAAATCCATAATCATTATAAGGTAAACTCAAATAAGAAGATCAAGGTATTTGTGCACAAAGATCACATACATGAAATGACATAAATATCCATGCCCTTAAACAACAAACTAACTATTTTTTTAAAAAACAAAACGCCCACCCAACTACATTAAGCACATTGTCCTGCATCACCCCTCCCCCACTAACTAATCCAAATCCATTGGCTTTAATGGACTACTACCTTCACCTTCAAATCTTTTTGTCAGCTTAATTTTCAAGATTCCTTTTGATTTTTTTCTTCTTAATTGGTTGTACCACATTCTCAGCAACGACATGGACAACATTTGCATTAACATTTTCATTTTGCACATGTTGCTCACCTTTAGTTTCGTTTACACCACCTTGACCACACCTTCCCACATTCATTGACTATTGTATGTGTCTTACCGTTTGTCTCTTTCTACCACCACTTTTATGTGGCCTTTCCAATTCAGTACAAGTGGCCTTTTTGTGTCCTATTTGTTTGCATATACCACAAGCAACCTTCTTACATGACTTTGACATAGTGTGTCTTCCAATTTTTTTAGAAAACTCTAATCTTCTTTTTATGGTTGGCCTTCCTGGCATCCTTCTTTTTACTAGAGGCAATGGACGGATATAATATGTAGGAGGCCACATATTGCTTCCATTCATCCCATTTAAGGCATCTTTGTAAGAGTTCACGTAGAAGGCTGCCAAGAACAATGAGTCTACATAGGATGCATCATATTTGGTGTTTAAGTATGATAAGGTGGGAACTAAATGCACACAACCATACCTATTTAATTGCCACAGCCTACATCGACATTCCTTCTTCTCTACATCAACTATGTAAGATCCATTCATGTTTCTTGTTTCAAACTTCATCACTGCACAAGATATAACCTGCCAATACCTACAACATATAATGGAATTTGTTAGTTGTCAAACATATACAATATGCATTACAATAGTAAGTACATTTACATACCTTTGTTGAATTTTAGCTGATTTAACTTATCTCTGATGCCAGGCCATACTGAGTAACGTTCCCATCCTTGCCCCTTAATTTACATATTGAGCATCCTTTGTATGACATAAATTCAAATATCCTCTAACATACTGATAATATGTTTGTTCCTAGCACACTATTGAAACTTTCTGAGTATCCATTCTCCACAGATTCACAAGAAGCATCATGAACTTTGAAGAAAACCAAAGACCATGTCTTAGGATTATCCTTGTTTTCCACACATACAACTGCCCAAGTAATTGGGAATATTCCATTGTTAGCATCCTACCCACAACACAAAGTAATTCATCTTGGCAAAAACTTTTCAAAAAACAACCATCCAAGTTAATGATCCTTCTACACCCTCCCCTCCATCCCTTTTTGACTACATGAAAACATATGTAAATCTTTCTGAAATAGTAAATACCATCAGACATTACATCAACAAACAATTTTACAGTTAATCTTAGCTTTGATCTTCTTATATCCTCAGCATATGGCCATAGCTTGGAATAATTTTTTACTGTAACGACCTAAAAATACTAGTAAAAATTTTCATTTTTAATTAAATCAAACCATTCATTCATTTGTTTCAAAAGACAATCAAAGTAAAATTATTCTCAAAACATCAAAGTAAATCAAAACAGCCAATGCAGAATAAATCTCCAGGGGATGTTGTGCGATCAAGCCGGGCCCTTCCCTTTGGAACCAGAAGTACCTAAAAAATTTTTAAACATAAATTATAAGCACAAAGCTTAGTGAGTTCCCAAAATACCACATACCATACATAACATAGTTTACGCTATGGGACGAATCATAGTCTTACAATCACTTCCTACCATGGGCCAAATCATGGTCTTTCCTTGCAATGTCGAGGGCCAAATCCTGGTCTTACATACGAGTTCCAAAGGCCAAATATTGTTCTTCCATGAAAGTATCATGAAGAAAACTAGCATCCTACAAATGCCAGGGGCCAGATCCTACTCTTACATATAATTTCTTGGGGCCAAATCATGTTCTTTCATACAATTGTTAGGGGACAGATCCTGATCTTTCATACAATCGCCAGGGGACATGACCTGGTCATTCATACATATGCCAAGATCCTGGTCTTTCATACATATGCCAGGGGCCACATCCTGGTCTTCCATGCAAGTATCACAAAGACAACTAGCATCCTACATTGTATAGTGAGAAAATCACCTCACTCTCGCAGTTGAACAATCACAGCTCGAAAAATCTAGAAACCAGTGCTACAACCTACCCATCGAAATATCCAAGGTCAAACTTCCATCCATACTCGAAGACTGTCAATTTTCACCAAAGTCAACAAAATCAAAAAGTCAACAATCAAGTCAACGATGTCGGTAACCTCGAACTCGAATACAAAGGCGAATCCATGAGCCCCAACAATTTAAGCTCCACTGTGACATCCCCATTTTCATGGCGATTTTAAAACTTTTTATTTATGCTTATGTAAAACATAGTTCATTTTTAAATTCAGAATTTTTCCCATAAAAGTATTTCTGAAGAAATATTTTCCATTTATAGAAGCCTGGGATGTCAGAACTAATATAAGAAACATAAGCATAAATATAGGCCTTACATCATATTTTATTCTATAGCCTATATTTCCTCGAATCTCTCATCAGGTCCGAACATCACTATCTTTGTACTGCTTCCTGTGATACAAAGAAACTGAGTGGTTCAGGTTGGGAAACCTGGTGAGTACATAGGGTTTTCAACCCAGTTTAATATAGTTAATATGTTTAATCATCAAACAAAACAATTACCCTAATTACCCATCCTTGATTTCTTCTATATTTATTTCTAAGAACATCTCCTAAGGATCATCACCTACATCGCATTTCATTGCTAAGGACTTTTCCTAATGTTCATCGCCTGGTCATAACTTGGTATATACGGTTCTTACATCGCCTGAACTCATAATTCGTCGGTAGAGTACATTGCATGAATACATTGTTTTACATCGCATGAATACACGATTCCTAAATCACCTGAACTTGTAATTCATCAACTACAGGTTGCATTTCTGCTGGTGTTCCACTGGACTGATTAGATTAGTCTGTGGTCCTCATCTATACTCCGGTAAAGACGATATTGCAAGTAAGGGTCATGACATCTCCTAATCATTTATCATCTCTCATCTCCCACACTACCCTATATATATATATATATATATATATATATATATATATATATATATTTGTATACGAAAATACTTATATAAGAAAATCGAGTGAAATCAAATCATATAAGTTCATCCAACGCATATTGCAGATAATAGGCGTACCTAGCATTTAATTATCTAAATACTTCATATCTATATATAAGATAAAAGTAACTATACACTCACTTGATAAAAGTGGATGCCTCATAATTTGGACAAAACTTCGCCTTGGTGTTTTATCTTTTCTTCTGACGTGACCTAATATGATCATTATTAAGTCTTAGTCTAATTGATGATTAATGGTAGTCTAGATTCCTCACTAATCCCATGAATACTAAGAGTTCTATCAAATAAGGATTAGCCAGGGAAGACAGTTGGGAGGCAAGATCATTTCGGCGTATAGCCTTTCTGAAATCCAACAACCAAGCCAACGCGACCATTCTAGACACCTCTCCCGTAAGTAGATCAATCGGTATTATGACTTGGAATCACTGATAAATCTTATTTTTAGCTTCATAATAACGACTTATGACTATAAATATAAGTTACACTGAAAGCAAGAGAGTGTAGCTTAACTTATAGAGGTTTTAGCGAAAACCGGGAAAATGCACGAACAGGACTCTGAAACCCGAATCTTCTATTTGTCGGACACCTGGACCCCTCAAAACCTTACTAAATACCCCTAGGAACCTTAAGAAAATCGGATTGAAGAAAAGAAATGGCTCAGAGAGTTTCTTGGAGGATTGGTGTGTAGAAATGAGCCAAAAACCAGCGAATGTATAGGCTTTAGGGGGTACGCGTTGCACATGAACAGTAGGCGCGCCGCACCCTTCATATGATGTCGCACCATTGGTAGTCTGCCACGTGTCGCTTCAGTATTCATCTACATCCTCCCTTCTAGAAGATGCCACGTGTCCCCATATCATGGTGTCACGTGTCACGTTTTCCTTGATCTACGTCACCGTGTCGTGGAGATAGGGCCGGTCGCTGACCATGCCATGCGGCACACTCTGGTGCTGCCACGTCATCGTGAGCATCGTGCACTTCGCTCGCGTGATTTTTTTCTATATTTTCAAAGAGGTATAACTTCTTCATACAAGCTCCGTTTTTGACAATCTTTATATCCCCAGAAAGCTATCGACGAGATCTGCAACTTTCATTAAGTCTTCAACATCTAATTATTGCTCTAACAAAAA